CCCAGGCCCGCTGCAGGTGTCCCCGGGGTCGCTCTTTCCGGGAGCCCGTGTGCAACCCCGGCCTCTCCTTCCAGACCCAGGCTTGGCGGGGGCAAGGGGCAGAGGGTGGGTGTGCAGAGCCACCTGAGAGAGTTGTGTGCAGAGGATGGGGGGTGGACGTGACCTTTGCCTGCCTGGCAAGTCTCTTCTCCGGCCCCACGTCGGGCTTTCGGACCCTTTTATCCTGTACACCGTTTGGGGGACACAGACCACTGCCTCTGTCCGTTCTCCAGGCGGGAAAAGATATATGGGCACATTTCTCCAGGTCCTTTTTTGGGTTAAATCTAGTGCTCCCGACAGCCTTCAGGTGCACCGCACTCCAGACTTGGCCCCACACTTGCCCAATGGGTAAGATGCCCACAAAGGAGGCTTTCTTTTAGGTAATAGGGAGACCTGGCTTGAAAATAACAAAGAAAAGTAGTTATTACTCTTTAAGCATCTCAAGAATTACATAGCATTTATTATGTGCCAGGCCATTTTATAATCACTTTTGAAATGTGTACCCTCACAAAGACCCCAACAGGGAATTACTATTACTTTTGAGCCCTTTTTGTTAATGGATAACTACAGCACAGAGTCTAAACTACTTGGCCAAAGTCACACAGCTAGAAGTAGACACTGATCTGAATCCAGTCAGCTTCCCTGGGGAAAGATAACCCTGACTTTGACCTAGGTATGTCTATGTTTCTCTACTACTTGAGACCTTTTCAATAAGAGCAAGCTGCCACCTCAAACTATGGGTAGCAAATGAAGTGATCCATAAGTGAAATACATATATATTTATATAGTATATTTTCATACACTATATATACTTTTCTGTTTATCTTCTATGTCTAGGATAAGATTGATTCTCATTTTTAGTAATCATAAACAGTTTGTCTTTCATTTATGGGGCGCCTGGGTGGCTCGGTCGGTTGAGCATTGGACTTCGGCTCAGGTCATGATCTCACGGTCCGTGAGTTCAAGTCCCGCGTCGGGCTGTGTGCTGACAGCTCAGAGCCTGGAGCCTGTTTCGGATTCTGTGTCTCCCTCTCTCTCTCTGCCCCTCCCCTGTTCATGCTCTGTCTCTCTCTGTCTCAAAAATAAATAAACGTTAAAAAAATTAAAAAAAAAAGTTTGTCTTTCATTTAAATTAAAGAAAATATGCGGGGCGCCTGGGTGGCGCAGTCGGTTAAGCGTCCGACTTCAGCCAGGTCACGATCTCGCGGTCCGTGAGTTCGAGCCCCGCGTCAGGCTCTGGGCTGATGGCTCGGAGCCTGGAGCCTGTTTCCGATTCTGTGTCTCCCTCTCTCTCTGCCCCTCCCCCGTTCATGCTCTGTCTCTCTCTGTCCCAAAAATAAATAAAAATGTTGAAAAAAAAATTAAAAAAAAAATAAATTAAAGAAAATATGAATCATTTCAAAGTACAATGTTAAAAAGATGGTAGGTGTCTTCTGGTGCCTGATCTAAGGCACAGAGCATCTTCCTCGTGGCTTTATACCTGCAATTCCAATCACAGTTTTGTGGGGCGACTGAATGATGTTCTCTGCCCAAGGGCCACATTCTCCTGCAATTGATAAAGACCACACAGGACCCATAACCTGGCACCCCAGGCCAGGCTGATTTGAGGTAAATAAATACTCCTTGTGTTATGCATGATAATAATAAAGTAATAGCATCCCAGGCCTGGCTGATTTGTCAGGAGGTAACAAATGTGCCTTATGCTATGTATAATAAAAATAAAGTAATAGCTAATATTAATAGATCACTTATGATGTGCTAGACACTGTTCTAAGTTCTTTACACGTATTAACTCATTCAATCCTTTGAGCCAGGTGCCTTTCTTTGCCCCTTTTACAGTGGAAGTACTAAGCCAGAGAGGTTTACGTCACGTAGCTGTAAGTGACATGGGTAGGATTTGCACTCACATGGGCTTTGCATCATGCCCTCACCCTCCTCCCCACACCATGACTTCACATGAAAAGTAAGGACGCTGAACACCTGGCACAGAGCAGCAGTGGGGAGAGCACTGAATTGGCAGTCACATCCTCTACATTAGCTCTCTGACCTCTCTGGGCTTCAGTGTCCCATCTCTCAAGCTGGGGCACCATTGGTCCATCTCCAGAGGCCCTTCCACCTTTGAATCGTGAGAGGCAATATTTAGCACCCGGTGCCATCATGATCAGCCAGCTGTGGACAGGGCCTGAGGCCAGCTGTATTTGTTCAGACCCCTGACTGGTTGCTGCGTGACCTTAGACAGTTGGCTCAATCTCTCTGAAGACGGCATGATTACTCCAGCCCCTGCATGTTCACTCTCTCATTGACTCCTGCAGACGAAATGGCATGAAGGATGGTGAAGACTTTTGTGTCTGTCCAAATGCCGTGGCAGCATCTTGTCCCTGGGAGCATTAGGCTGGTGATCCACCCTCCTTCCAGCACCAGGTCAGCAAATTTCCAATCCCACCCTTAACCTCCAGCCTAGAGTAATGCTTCCAAACTCTTGGACCCTTTCCCTAAGAGCTTATTGGGATTCAGTAGGATTCCCTCTCCATGAATGTCAGTGTGGACGTAATGACCACTGTTTATTAAGCCCTAGCCGGGAGCCGGGAGCCTATCATTTAATCCCACATAGAGACCGAATCTCCTTTCCATGGGGAAATCGAGGCTCAGTAAGGTTGAGCAGCTTGCCCAGGTCATTCCACCTGTGACAAAGGAGGCTGTGAACCCAGACTGCCTGACAGCAAAGCCCATGCTCTGGGCACGGGCTGGCTTCATAAATCCCCTTTTCACACCCGGCACCCACAGGCAAGCATGGTCCTGATTCAGGGCCACATGACTCACTTTCTCTTTGATTGAACATCAAGTAGCAACTCCCTCCACAGAGAGCCCCGGGGGACTAACCGTTGGCACTAATTACAAGTCACTCAAGGCCTCTCTCCTGCCTAATAAACACCGCAAAGACTTCCAAACTGCAGGACTGGCCATCACCCTGCACAGACAGACATGAAGTACTTCGTCTGGAACCAGTTCTTGGATGGCCTCCCTCTTGTGGGGAAATGGCTGGGCAATTGTCTCCAATTCCCTAGTGACTTTGTTGGTTTCAAGTTGCCAAGGGCAGATTTTGTAGGGGCGGATCCCAGCCTGACCTGGGGAGGAACTTCCAAAGACTCAGAGCCAAGTCACAACAGGGAGCTCTCAGGGGTACTGGGTGTCCTGTCAGTG